GGGGACAGACCCTTCCCCCTCCCCGGGGCTCTTCCGGGCCTGGGGGGTGCAAACAGCCCTGCTAGTGTGGCTGCTCCTCAGGAACCCTGGCTGGGGAAATAAAGGAAAGCGGCATTCCCTGTCACGGCCCTTCCCCATGTGACAGCCAGTCACACTCCTCGCCTGTCAGTCGTGGCGATTGTCTCATCCGGCTGGCATGTTCCCACCACAGGACATGTTCACACACACAATGAGGCCCCTGTGCACCGTGGGGGATCTGTCGGTACCTGCTGGTGGCCTGGCTTTTATTACTATTGTCATGGTTATTACTATAGCCTGCTCAGCCAAGAGGCTGGAGACTTATCAGCATTCAGAGCCAGGCTCTTCCCCGCTGGCTGAACCACCCAGCGCGGCTGCGACAGCACTGAGCACCCGCTGCCTTCAAATCCTTCCGGCTCCCATGGCTTATTAGCCAGCACAGCCTGGAGAGGAACCAGGGCCAAACGCTAGTGCAGAGGTTGGGTGGGCAGGACAGGGCAGGATCCCCCCAGGAGGAGTGGGCAGGGATTTCCTTCTCATCTGTCCCCAGCAGTTGCCCACAGGGAGGACTGTGGGTGAGGACACTGGCTCTGGTGGTCCCTCTGCCCTGCCTGGCCATGCCGAGCCAACCCTTGCATGGCGTGAGCTCAGGGCCACTGTCGTGGGGAGAAAAGATGCAGGATGGCTGGTTGTGAAGCAAACAGCTGTAAACTCTCTCATCTATACCCTTGCTGAAGTGGGCTGGAAGAGGAGCCATTCCTGGGGTGCAGTTAGTGTGGGGGCAGGCCAGGCAGAGCTTGAAGGTGCTGGAGCACCAGCCAAGGGTGTTCTCCAATCCGGCATCCGAGCCGGGAGTGAAGCACAGTTCAGTTATCTGGCTGCCTTTCTGCTGGGAGGGGATGCATTTTGCATTTCTCCTTGGCCCACGGGATCCCGGTACAACCCCCCCACTGCGCCAGTGAATAGGAGGGGTGTATCTGGGGGTGGGAGAAGGCTCATTAGTGGAGGCACAAGGCCAAGAGAGGATGTGGATAGTTCCTTTTCTTGAGGCCACAGCTCTGCAATACCTTGCAGACATTTCGAAAGATTTAAAGAAGATCCTGAAAAATAATCTGAGCTGTGGAAAGGGACAGGGGGTGATGGGCAGGTGAGCAGTTTAAACGAGAGGTCACTCCGAGCACAGGTTGGTTCCCTGGTGAACGAAAGAGCTGTGGCAGGCTGGCGCAGCCAGATTTGGCCCTTCTCCCTGTGCTTTCCCAGAGCACAATCCCCTGACCTTGCTCCTTCAGAGAGGCTGCAGGGCACCTCATCACTGCACAGCTTGCTGGACTGCACCTCGTGCTCCCGGTCCCTGTGTGCAATGCTGTGAAGAGACTGGGCTGGGGGGGGAAGATGCAGCTCCCCAGCCCTGCAGAGATCCCAAGCCTTTTCCTGTCACTCTGCCCCAACAAAACCACTGTGGGACGAGGGTGAATCCCAAGGGCTTGCAGCTTCTTTAGCCTTGGGAGAAGCGGGTGGTGTGGAGAGCTGGGAATGCCTCAGAGAGTCACACAATCACACAGCGTCAGGCCGTGCGGAGACGGGATGCCTGGATGCTCTGGCTGCCCGAGCGTTGATTTCCTGCACGGTCTTTTCTCGATTGGCATATCTGACCTCGTGTTGCAGCACAGCAAAAAATAACTGTGGCCTCGGTGAGAGGAAATGCACCGGGCAATTGTGAAGGAGGCAGTGGTTTTGGCAGGGTCGTTTGCTGGGAAAAGCAGAGGAGGGGGGGGAACTAGAGAGGGAGGACATGGCACCTCGTAACCCCTGTCAGCACCGCGGTTTCATCGCCTGCACTCCTCCGAGCGATCTCCAAATCCCCTGCGTCTCAGCACTAAAAATATCCCTGCCGCCCAGAGTTCC